TTCCCAAGTCACTGTTTTTCCTTTTGTCATATTTGTTGTAAGACATCTTAAACTAATTGGAAGAACCTTACTTCATTATTATTATTATTTTCATATTTATTGTAAAATATTACTCAAGTCACTTTTTTGGAATTTTTTTCATATTTGTTGTCAAGTATCTACATCTAATGGGAAGAATCTTGCCTTTTTTCATATTTATTGTAAAACATCAATCCCAAGTCAATTTTTTCATTTGTTCACATTTAATAATTTAATTAAAGCTTAAACCGTCTACAAATTATATCTAATTAGATTATTAGAAGAATCTTCATCGTTGTCCAAAACTATCACCTTCCTTTTTAATTTTTGGTTAGACTTCTTGTTATCCTTGAGTCCCTGTTTCCATGTAGCCAAGGTACCTTCTTGGAGTTCTTGGAGTAGAAGGCCACTGTCATTTTGGTAGGGAAGTTAGGGGGTACCTGTAGTGGTACCTAGGTACCTGTTCAATTTTTCACAAAAATAGGTACCAAGTACCGCACCTGGCACCTCCCAAAGGGTGCGGGGCGGGTGTAAGGGTACCCCCCAAGCGGTACTAGGTACCTAGCAAAGGGTACCGCGGAACGATCTCTACGAGGGAGTGACAGCGGAGGACAGTGTGGGAAGCAGGAGGGAATAAGTGTGTGGGATAGCTTGTCAGCCTCTGGGTAACTAACCTGAGTGTTTAATAGTAAAAAGGTTGTTACTATGAGTTGACTGAAGTTTTTGAGCATGGTGAGTGTTAGGTAGTGGGTGATTAATACCAGTCCTGTAAAGAGGAGGTTTCACTCTATCAGTATGGTCTTTACTGAGAGGCTTGCTATCAACAGCGCGTCCGGATCAATACAAGGTATTAATAGGCATCCAAGATACTAAGACTCACCTGGGATTGATTTGGTTATTCCCAAAAGGGAATGGGCTAACAATACTTATTAAGCTTTAACAAAATTAGTTGAAGATTAACAGGTATTGTTGATGGGAATATTCAGCAAGGCTATGAATACTGTGGATAAGTTGAGTAAGAGTACTGAAGCTTAAGAACAATAAATGTAGACAAGATTTATGTTGGTTAAGTGTACTGTATCAATATAAATGTTAACTGGTTTAACTGGTGTCTGAATATTCTGGGGATTAATCAGTGAAAGAGGCACGGATTATAAGTTCCAGAATATTGAAGGAGGGAAAGAATGAGCGCTCAGAATCAAGGGAGCTTTGGCCAAGAGAATGAGCACATCAATTGAGTGGCTGATCATTATTTGTCATGATCTGTAAGTGACATCATAATTGTGTACTAGTTGATCAATGTACTAGTTGCTCTTGATGTGTGTACTTAACAGATCCTCTCATAATGTAGTCATAATTGTGATCAGTGCATGTATTGAATATATTAATTCTATTGACACTTAATACTTACTATTTAATACATGTACACATTTATTTGTAATAATATTTGACCGTGAAAATACTGTAGCAGAGGGATAACTTGTGGTACAGGTATTTCACGGACAAGGGAGTGAAAGGTAAGTGATAATTACTTATGTAGAACACAGGTATGTATTTAATAGATAAGTAATTAACAGATAAGATGAATGTAAGATAAATAAGATAAGTTAATAATAATGATAAGATAACAAGAGGTAAAGGTAATCAACATTATGGATAAGTGCTTATGTACATAAGTACAGGTGTTGCAGTTACTTGGTACATGAAAGGTACTGTGACATGTACTCTGTGGCTGACATAGCTGGCAGCGTTGGAGTTTGGAGGAGAAGGGGGAGAGAGGAGGGGGGGACTTATGACTCAGAACATATCAGAAAAACGGAGTGACTTAGGAGTGAATCGGGTATTAGCCTAAAGAATTGTTAGATATAGAGCTAGTTAGAGTATTACCAAGAGCAGAAGAAAAGAGATTAGTTATTCTACCTACCTACCAGACCATCAAGCAAGTTACCCGGACAACAAAACCGGAGTAGGGAAGCGTTGCTGAGCAGAGAAGTGCAAGAAATCCCCTAGGGCACGCCTTGCTTTCCACATTGTCAAAGAAAAACATTTAGAAATTCTCTCACATCAGAAAAATCAAGATTGACATCAATTCCATCAGAGGATTACTCAACACACCTAAATGTTTCAACCTCCTCTCAAAGTTCATCATAGATACTCATAGATTAAATCATCTGAAACATTATCTGGAAAAAGAAGAAAATAAAAAAAAAACATACAATTTAAACCAAAAATATTTCTAGTTATCATTTTCTTTGGTAAAAAGTCATCAATTTCTTTGGTTTAAAAGTTATCAATTTCTTTAGTTAAAAGTCATCATTTCTTTGGTTAAAAGTTATCAATTCCTTTGATTAAAAGTTATCAAGAGTCATCACTTCCTCTCACATCTTCCATTCAACAATCTAATCATCAATAAAATGGTCAAAACCATTCCTTTATCTTCTTTTAATTTTGTTCTTTTGTCCTTCTTTTTCTTTTTTTATTATCAAATCTTGGCAGTCTGAATCACTTAGTTGCACTTAATTCAGAAGATTACAATACAACTAATTTTCTTATTAAGTTGTATTCTCAAAATAATAGGTCAAAAACATCAGTGAGTGTATCTACATAGAATGTATTACTTGAAGTGCGCAATGTCAAAACAATCAGCACTAAAAAAAAACAAGACCTCATGTTACCAATGCAGATATTCAGCATCGGCCGCTTCACTTCCGGTACTCAAAACCTTCCCTCTCTTGAATCATTTCTTCTTTCTTTTTTCTTGTGGAACCTCAAGGTCAACTATCTGGACATGATATTTTATTCATCACATTGTGTTTTATTTTCTACTGTCATAGCAAACACTCTGGTTCCTCCACTTTACAAAGCTTAAACTTCAAAGTTTCCTGACTCATATTATATTCCTTGGTACAACATAACTTCAGCACTTCCCTTCCTCTGAACTTCTTTGCTGACAGACCATGTTCTCTCCCTTCCTCTCAACTCATCGATGAACATCAAGAAAGCCCTCTTGTCTTTTTGCTATTGTGGGTTCTAGATGACTAGTTTCTCTCCTGTTATTCTCATGCAGACATTGAAATCAAAAACACTCTCTTAGTTTCTACTTCTCTTGTTGAACTGTTTTTGTTTTTTCTTCTCTCTCCCATTCTTGTTTGCCTTCAGTTTAGAAATCTTGTGAGGTTGTACCCTTCACAGGGAAGTGTAAAACATGCTTTGAGGCTAACAGAAAGTGTAGCTTCCAAGGACGTATTTTTTTCCCTCTTATTCTGTTAATGTACTTTTCTTACACTGACATACATATCACTCATTTAATTTTCCTACACAGCTACAGTACTCATTAAGACTCTATACAAAAACATTTTGCAGCTCACACAAATTGTCAGACAGCAGGAATTCTTGACTAATGAGGCTAATGACCGCTGGAGAAGTGTTGTGGATGAATTACTTTCCCTGAAGGCAGAGTGGGGTCCAATTGGGGTTAGGGTTAGGGTTTTCCCTTGAGGGCATGTAATTCATCCACAACACTTCTCTAGCGGTCATTAGCCTCATTAGTCAAGAATTCCTGCTGTCTGACAATTTGTGTGAGCTGAAACAGGCTCTTGTATAGAGTCTCAATGAGTACTGTAGCTGAGTAGGAAAATTAAATGAGTGATATGTATGTCAGTGTAAGAAAAGTACATTAACAGAATAAGAGGGGAAAAAAAGACAGCTTATGTCCTTGGAAGCTACACTTTCTGTTAGCCTCAAAGCACGTTTTACAATTTCCTGTGAAGGGTACAACCTCACAAGATTCCTCCAAGAAGTGGTCCCTGCAAGAAGCACAGCCGTACTTTAAGGCAGTTAAAAAGACTAGTGTAATATTCATATGTAGTAATTTTATTATAAATAAATGGTCCACTTACAATGTTGACCATTTTTATTAAAGGGGGGGGGGTTGAATTTATTTTATTGGTGGATGTGTCTGTTTTCTTGTGAGGTGGTTTTGATTGCTGATGGGGGGGGGGGAATAGCCAGGAAAGGCACTTCTATTTAAGAAGTGCCTTCCCCTGAGACCAACAAAAAAAAGCCCTGGGGACTGGAATTTTCCAGTACCCAGGGCATGTGTGATGAGGGGCTGAATAACCCTAGGAGACTGCCCTGTGTGTGGCCCAACCCTAGTGCCACACCCAGTGCCCCCAGGGCCCTGTGTGTGGCCCAACCCTAGTTCCACACCCAGTGCCCCTAGGGCCCTGGATGTGGGGCCTACTACCCTAGTGCCACCCCCAGGGTCCTGTGTATACTGGTCAGCCAAGAAAAAAAAATCAAGTTGTTCCTAAATCAAAACTGAGCGAGTTGATAACTGAGAACATTGAAAAGGATTTTGTAAGGATATGTAGATCTATCAACCAATCGTTAAACGAAGAAAGCAAAAGCTTTTTTTGTTCTTCTTCTTCTTCTTTTGGTTCCCACCATTTTTTCGTAAGCCTGCATATCGATTTTGCAACTTCTCAACATCATCCACCACCCCCCAGGAGGACCCTCTGTTCAAGTGGCGCTTGTTAAAGCCATCGAAAAGATCGTTTTATCTTATGAACAGTTATCAGCAGGAAAAGTAGCCGGATGTGTGCGCGCAAAACCGCGTGCACATCGTCTGCTGCACGTGTACACAGACGGGGCACTCGGTCACAAGTGCAAAACATCCCAGTGATGCAACGGCTGGGGTCCCTGGGGATGCCGAAGGACATACCCTGGTGTAGACAACCCGGAAAATCCGGGCACTTTTTTTCTTGTATTAATGCCCTCAATTAATTGATGAAAAAAAAGAGAGGAGAGATTAAAAAATTGAAACAAAATGTGATGAAGAAGATGAACAAACAAAAGTATTCATATATATGAACAAAGAAGAATGAATGAATGAATGATTATGAATGCATGAATGAATGAAGAGAATGAAAGTCAAGATGAAGTTGGATAAGGAGGAAGAGATTAGAAGAAGAAGAAAAGAGTTACGAGATTTTATTCATCCAAGCATCCAATTTCAGAGTGTCCAAATGAACATGATCGGGGAGACGCTGATGATGGAGAGGAAGGAGGGAGTCGAAGCAGCTGGGCATCTGGAGGACTTTAAAGAGCGAGTTAGCCCAGGAGCGGAAGGCGGGGAGGGTCGCCAAGCCGAAGAAGAAGGCTGCAGGATCGTGCTGCAGGTTGAGCTCCTTCTCGCGCTCATGCTCCCGATTGTTGAGCGGATAGTTGCGGTAGAAGCGCAGATAACGCGAGACGAAGCCCAGTTGGTTTTGGAACAAGATCGTCGAGGATGAGGAGGATGGAGAGCGTTGGACGAGGATGGCGTTCAGGAGCGGGTGGTAATAGGCGTCCAGGAAATGCAAGAGATAGAACACCACCTGGAACTCGAGCCGGATCGGATCATGAACTTCAGAATCCAGATGGCTCACTGGATTCTGGAAGAAGTCGATCGCGTCTTGGACTATCACCAAGAACGCTCGTCGCTCTTCCCCAATCCTCCCCAAGTCGACCTCATGATGATGATGATCGGCATGGGATGAGGATGATGGTGAGAAGTGCTCGCAGTCTGCCAGGAAATCGCGCGCTTGGAAGGCTTCCAAGATCTTCTGGAACCGCGCCGAGGACGTCATCTGTCGATTGGGCTTCAGGACCGAGCCTTGTCGTGGGATCGGCTGTTGAGATAGATTCTGGAAGACTTTCTGTAAGATCCTGTACACGAGTTGTTTCTGATCTTCCATTGAAAGCGCTATAAAAAAAGAACTCAAGGGATCAGAAATGAGTCGTTAAAATGATGAAGAAAAAGGCATGTTGGATACTTGCCATTGATTGCGCGATGAAAATGCAGGACGGAATGATCATGAAGGAAGAAGTGAAAGTCGGGCACGACCATTGCTTGGATTGTCCTTGTCGGGCCCCTATTTCCTCCAACAGCTTTATAAGTCGTGGGATGGTTGGGGGCGGAGATACGGAAGAGCAAGTCGACGTAAAAGGCGGCGATTTGGGCGAGGTTTGAGGGCCTAAAGATGCGGATGTTCTGGACGAATTTGGGGTTGACGAGCCGGAATTGGAGGAGATAGGAGGCCAGACGGAAGAGGATCTGGACGAACTTGAGCTCGAAGGTTGCGACTCTGATTGGGTCTGGAGAGAGGCCCGAATAGAGGATTGATGAGGAAGAAGAAGAAGAAGAAGAAGAAGAAGAGATGTGGGGATGGTTGGGATGGATGTCGTGGTGATGGTTATGGACCAGTTTGAAGAGCTTGTTCTGGAGCGAGTCCCAGAGATCGATGAGCTGGAGGATCGTGAGCTGGTTGCGTGCCGGCCGGTCCCCTGCGTCTTGGTGGCCGAAGAAGAGCGAGACCAGCGGCGAGCCGGCGAGGATCTCGAGCTCGTGGTCCCTCTCGGGATCTCCCGCCGGAATGGACGAGCCTTGATGGGGATCCGGCGAGAGGAGCCGCTTGAGCGATGGGTGGTACGGACTGGTGATCGTAGTGGTGGAGGAACACGAAGAGGAATGGCTTCCTTCGTCGGCTGTCTTGTCTTCTTCTTCTTCTTCTTTTAACAGTCTTGGGGCCGGCCGTCGGCTCCTGCGATGCTCCGTCCCGACCGTTGATGATGGCTGTCTGTTAAGCTCGCTCTTAGACTGAGGGAAGGTCATACATGCCCTGAGCTTGTTCCACTTGAACGCCGGTTTCCGATAAGCCTTATAGTTGTTGCCCGAGCTGCTGGGCTGCAAGCTCTTGGCGGGGCCATGCTCATTGAAGGTCACTCGCCGGCCCGGCGGCTTGCCGCTGCCGGTGGCCAGGAAGTCCGTCGAGGTGATCCCGCTCAGCCGCAGGATCCGCTCCAGCCCGGCCGCGCGTAGACCCTCGTTCAGCTGCTCCAGCGGCTGCTGGATCTTCGTGTACTGGTACTCCGTCTCCGGCTGGAGATTGCTCTCTTCCATCATCCTGTCGAGCTCTTGTCGTTGTCTTTCCATCTCTTCCATCTCAGCTGGAGTCAAGTAGACATATATCAGTCCAAGCCCACCATCACCATCATCAGTATTATTATTATGAGAAGGCTGCGATACCTTTTCGTTCTTCAAAGCCTTCCGGGATCTTCCCGTATTGCCGATCGTACTCTTTGACCATTCGGTCGTCACTCGAAGCATCGGCCTCTGCTGCTGACTGGGGCTGATGATGAACAGGAACGATCTCACTGATCACAGATTTCTGAAAGTGCTGAGGATACTCTGATGGGGGCTGCCCGCTTCTCGATGAGAACCGGACTTGTCTGATCTTCTTTGCCGGCTCTTCGTGTTCTCCTTCTCCTTCTTCTACGATCTCACTGATCGATCCCAATGGACTACGATGTTGGTTTCTATTGTTGGGAAAGAAAGCTGTTTGGTTGGTTTGTGAATCAGAAATGGTCAGAGTGCAAATAATTTGGATGGATCGCATGGTGAGGAATGTCCATCCCATCTGAGGAGAAAAGGTGAGATGCTTAACTGAATGAATCGTCTTCTGTTGCTGCTGCTGCTGCTGCAGTTATCTCTCCATCTTCTTCTCCATCAATCAGACTTGCAGAGAAGACCACCCTGCTAAGACTCACCCAAGCCAATAATAATGATACCCTGACTATGAGCATCCTGATGAGAGAATGATAGTCGTGCAAGTCTGTTGGGCCACGAATCGAATAGTAGCAGGGGATCACACACACACACTTCAGAGCCCATCTTTATGATACAAAATTTCCAGCTTTTGGATTCATACTGTTTTCGTAGGACATCTCTTTTCCCCTCTCTCTCTCTCTCTCCAGACGGGGAACCAGAAATCAATCCGTCTCTCTCTCTCTGGCTGTGACTGAAGTGTGTGTTGGAACTGTACTGCTGTTAGACGATTTATCCCGTCGAGTGTTGTTTTATAAAAGTAAGAAGAACTTGTTTTAAGAAGAAGAAGAATATAATATCAAACATCTCGACAAGTTACAACCAACAACAATAGAAAGAAAGAAATAAGAGAAAAAGAAAGTTTGAAGGTGTACAACCATGATGAATGATGTCATGCTTGTAAAAGAAGACGAGACGAGCAGAGGAAAGAGCCATCAATTCGATACAAAGCAGGAACAAGGGATATCGTATCACAGCTTCGGCCAGAGTTGGGTCAGCGTATTCTCGAAACATTCTTCGTCCGGCCCGGGTCCGGCTCGGAGCTGTGAAAATGAGTTGGTTGAGATCCCGGGGGCTGCTTTGTCCCCCCGGGAGTCTCCGATGGATGTATGCACCCCCCGATGATCCTATCCAAAGATGACACATTTTTTTTTTTTTTTGGAAATCAGCCAAAAACCACCAAGAACCAAAAAAAAACAAAAACCACAAGATGGACTCAACACTCGATCCAATACCAACAACCCAACCAGAATCAACAAACAGACTATCACTACCATCATCAGTAAGTCATCCATCCCATCATCAACAAAGAAACAAAAAAACAAAAAACTGAGCACATCTTGCAGTTCTTCGTCGAAGCACTCTACCCTTTCAACGGAGAAGATACGGCCTCGCTATCATTCCAAAAGGGCGATATCATCGAAGTACTCACTCAACTACCATCAGGTGAGCAGATAAAAGATATACACTCCAAAAAATCAAACAGCAACAACAAACTGACTCGAGAGAATCATACGCATACATACATAGGATGGTGGGATGGCGTGATGTGGCGTCAACGAGAACGAGGTTGGTTCCCAAGTAACTACACTCGAAGGCTCACCGATGAGGAGGCAGAACTCACTCGAGCACAACTAGAGACCATCAAACAGAACAACGAAACTATCCAAAACATCCAACATCCTGCTCAAACTAACTCAAACCATCCATCAAGACTCAGTCTACTCAACAACAATAACGAGCAGGAACAACCTGAATCAGACTCCCAACCACCTCCCACATCTACAACCATCAACACCACCCCCATCCAAGAACAACCATCAACCGATAGCCAATCCATCCAACCAGCACCAGCACCACCGTCACCTTCTAATAATCACTCATCCAATACAACTTCAAACAACAGCTGGGCAGCATGGCTACCCAAAGTCACCGATGACGGTCAGATCTACTACCACAACAATCTCACCGGTGAAATCGCCTCAGAGATGCCCCTGGCTGATGATGACCTCGATCATCCACAAGCTCACTCATCATTACCACCATCCTCAAACTCAAACCCAAACTCACTCGATCAACATCACATCAACAACTCACTCTCAAAATTCATTGCAGAAGACCCACTCAAGTTCTTACAGGATCACGGATTCTCAAGAGAAACACTACAGAAACACGGTCTGATCTCCTCCTCCTCCTCTCCTGCCTCTCCAACTCGGCTCTCAAACATCACTCAATCATCCCTCTCATCCCCAACTCCAATCCCATCGAACCTCAACTCAAGCAATCTTCATTCTGAAACCAATCCATCATTAGGCCTCAATCTTCCTCCCACCACCACTCTCCTATCTCCTAACGATCCCTCCGACTCACAGCCCCGTACCAGTTCATCCTCCGATCTACCCGAACTGACTAGCCAAACAGACGATCAACTCAACGTCAATCGCTCATCATCATCATCATCAACAACAACAACTTCAAACTTACTCATCAATGCCCCATCTCATCAGAACATCTTCCAGAGCTCTCAACAGTTCAAGAGTCAACTCAAACCGATCATGGAAGTCCCACCAACTCTAAGCTTTAGTAGGATGGCAACCGAGATCAAGGAGGCCATCGGACTCCTCACCAAGTTAACCGAGCCCAGCCTAGAAGATCCTGCTGGCCCGGATTACTCCTCCAAAAATAGTAACCAAGATCAAATGATCAATCAGGCGCATTCGCAACATGCACGAGATGAGCTCTCTCGGGCCTCGATCAACCTGGTCGATAAGATCCGATTCTTACTCCAAGCGAGTTGTCAATTGGATACCGCAGTCCATTCGATCCTCAATGAGTCCCACTTTGCGGGCCAGTTCAACTCGCTCTCGGTCGCCCAAGCTCGTCGATCATCGATGTCCCCGATCTCTCCCTTCATTCCCAGTCGAGATAGCACCCTCTCAGCCCAATATCCGGCCGGCTCACCCTTCACGAGCCTGTTCTCTAATCCGCATCTCAATTTGCCCGGGCTGAAACATGTCAGTAGGAAGATCGCCTCGACTCTCTCTAAACTGACGCTCTCCACTCGTGCTCTTTGGGGATTACTCTCGATCCGCTCTGCCGATCTCTTCCCTCCCTCCCTCGATGACTCTGCTTCACTCGACATCCAAGAGTTGAATTCTCGTCAGAACGCCCAGAATCGGTTCGCCTTGGAACAGAAGTTGCGATCGGAATGTCGGATGGGCGTGAGCGATCTCTCGACGAGTGTCGATGCATTCTTCCAACACTTCGAAGCCATCTTGATCGAGCAATCCGGGAGTAACAGTTATGCTACCACTCGACCCACCCCGCCTACGAGATTCTTTCCGCGTCATGGTCATGGACATCTGGTCATGCCGATCGAATCGGTCTTCTTACCCGGAGGAGCACAGGGAGGGAACTGGAAGGCGTCGGGCTACCACGATCCCGGACATCCGATGAACGCGTTGTCCGAGCATTCCGGACCGAGCATGGGGGGCGCCCAGTCGCCGGTCTCGAAGCGATCGGTGATCACGCCGTTGGTCAAGTTAGACTCGGAGAGTCTGAGTGCCCGATTGCTGCCCCTGATCCGGTCGACACGGGAGCTAGCCGAGACGATCATCAGTCTACTCGCCGTGGATGCCGACGAGATCCTGATCACCTCGGAGCCGACGGAGCTTAACTGCATCGAGCGGTTGAGTGGGGAGACGGCGGACCAGGTGATGAGTCAGGTGATGAACCTGATCGAGGCAGTGGGCCATCTGTTGACGATCGCCGAGTCGTTTGATCTCGGCGCCAGCCTGGAGGTCGATCTGGACCCGTTCATTTGGCTCGTCCTCGAGCAGGACCAGGGCCTCCTCAAGGGGCTCTGCGACCCCATCCCCGAGGCCTCCTTGGGTAACATCCACACCCAGTTGGCCTTCGCCCGACGCCTCGTCGGCGGATATCAACGCTCCAAACAGGCCCTCTACGACCTCGTCGCCGAGCTCATCTATGCCACTCAAACCCTCCTCACCTCCTCCTCGGGCGTCTCTCCCCCTTCTGCTTCTTCGATCCCTTCCCCCGCCCAACCGCTCTCCGCCTCCCCGCTCTTCTCTCTTCATCCTTCTTCAGGGTTTCCTTCGGCGTCGGGCGGCTCGGCGTCGCCCGGAAAACCGCTCAAAACCGCTCGCAGAATCGTCCTTGCTCTCGAAAGCTTGGCCGTCGCGGCCCAGGCTATCGTCCATCAAGCTTCGACTCAAAACACTGGCTTGGATATCAACCTTCATGCGATCACTCAGTTGTTCAAGAACTCGATCTTTGTCCTCCAATCTACTACTTCTTCTTCTTCTAATACTACATCCACTTTGGTCAATCATCAGCATCCGTCGACCGCCGCTTCGTCGGACTCTCATTCTTCGGATGATAACGAGGACGATGGGGCGTCGTCCTTATCTTCCTCCTCTGACTCGTTTCTCCCTTCTCATAACAATCATCCTAATTATGGGAATCAGGCGATCCCGCGTCGGCTGAAGTCCAACTCTATCCCCCATCATCCTTCATCTGCTTCTGCTTCGGTTCTCTCGCCTTCTTCGTCGCTGCGGCTTCAAAATCAGAATTTTAGTAACCAGAACTTGTATAATCAGAACTTGCCCCCGCCTTCGCCCAGACATCTCTTGCTCTCTCGCGGGATCGAGGAAGAACAGGCCGAGCTCGAGCTCCATCTCTCTGGATCTTCTCATCCTAATCTTCATCGTGATAATTCTATCGATGGTTCGTCTATCTTCCATTTTTTTTTTTGGAGAGAAGGGGGAGTTGATTTTCGGTTTATTTTTTTGCGGGGTTCTTTTGGTAGGTGGGTCTGTGACAACTAGGAAACGCGAACCTTCTATTCTCGTGCAGGATGTCGATCGGGCTGAATCTGGTAAGACTTGTTCTATTTATTTAGTTATTTCGCTTTCATTTTTTCAAAAATAGAAAGAAAAAAATCCAAATTCCAGGAGAAAAAAAAATAATTAATAATGATGAGAGTGTTTTGATGTTTGTTTGTGTATGAAGTGTCATCGAAATCGCCAACAAGATCGAAGAAGTTAGCCAAATTCTTTGGAGAAGAGGCGGCGACCTCGGTCATGCCAGGCCCTCCCAAACCCATGAACAGCAGCAACAACAACAACGCGACTAAGCCGGCGTTCTTGATGGCCGACTACGGGCCTGACGATATCTCGTTCAACGTCGATAATCAGATCCGGGGTGGGACGCTTAAGGGATTGGTCATTAAATTAACGTCTCATGAAGGCCGTTCGTTTCTCTCTCTCTCTTCTCCCTTTATTATCTCAATTGACTGATTTTCTTTTGGTTTGGTTTGGTTTGGGACAGCTGATGTACCGTTCTTGAGAGTCTTCTTGATGACCTATCGGACGTTTACGACCTCGCACGATTTCTTGGATCTGTTGATCGAGCGCTATCATCAACAGCCACCTGCCGGTCTCTTAGCCGAAGAACTACAACTCTGGACCGACCAGAAACAAAAAGTGATCAAGATTAGGTTAGTCTCTTTCTACTTTGTTGTGGGGCTCATACGATTGGGGCTTATGTTTTTTTTTTTTTTTGGTCGGGGATGTCAGGGTGATTAATGTGATTCGGTCCTGGATCGAGTCCCATCTTTCGGACGAAGACGCCGATAGTATCATTCAACGCGTCCTCGAATTCTCGGCCCATGATATGGGGGATACTAATTTAGCTAGACAAGTAGCATTAACATGTGAACGACGGGTAAGTCCCCCCCTCCATTTTTTGTCATAGTTAGGAAGACTGAATCATTTAAAAACGATGACATTAAAAATATAATATAGCAATCGAGAGGAGGCTTAAACAAGATGACGCCCATGCAACCGCCTGGAAACCCGCCCCCATCGATCCCGCCCCGCAACCCGCGCAAGATCAAGTTCCTGGACATCGACCCGTTGGAACTGGCCCGCCAACTGTCGCTCGTCGAGAGCAAGTTGTTCTGCCAGATCCAGGCCAACGAGTGTCTTGGTAAGGCTTGGCCAAAGGAATTCGCCAAGGAAGGCACGCCGAATATTAAGGCGATGATCGATATGAGTAATGCTGTTCGTCCCTTCTTCTCTTTTTTTTTTGGGGGGGGGGGGGAGTTTCTCCAGTGTTGTTGACTTAGTCTTCTTGGTCGGCTTTGTTGTAGCTCACTCGTTGGGTCGCCGAGACTATTCTTCTGCAGCCGGAGCAGAAAAAACGGGCCAGTACTATCAAGCATTTTATTTTGGTAGCTGATGTTAGTAGTGATCACATCTTAACCTTAAGACGCTCTTTTCAAAGACAACTGATTATATCATTATTATTACTGATGATATGACACAGAGATGTAGATCGCTGAACAATTTCTCGACGTTGATGCAAATCATTGCGGGCCTGAACTCGACGCCGATCTATCGTCTCAGACGGACCTGGGAAACGATCCCCCAAAAAACCTTGACCCTCTTCGCTCAGCTTGGCGCCGTCATGAGTCCGACTAAAAACTATGCGGCCTATCGGGATACGATTCGGAATATGGCGCCTCCTTGTGTGCCTTTTGTTGGTACATAAATTCTCGCTCTCTCTCCCTCTCACGTATCAATTTTCATATTGACTAACCAAAAAAAAAAACGGGGTTTTAGGGGTTTATTTAACGGATTGGACGTTCATAGGAGACGGAAATCCGGACCAATTGCGCGAGAAACCGCAACAGATCAACTTCAACAAACGGCAGAAGGCGGCAGAATTGATTGTCCAGATCCAGTCCTATCAGTCGATGCCCTACCAGCTCTCGCCGATGCCGATGATCGTCAAGTTTCTCGAAGAGTCGCTCGAGAACCCGCGCGACGAGAAGGAGCTCTACGACCTCAGTCTCGAACTCGAGCCCCGCGAACGCGACGACGAGAAAATCGCTAGGCTCTTGGCTGAGGTCCGTCCATCCCCACTCCCCCTTTCACCAGATCATCTTCGTTTTTTTTTGACTCGTGCTTTTTCTCTCTTGACAGTCCGGCTTTTTGTGATCGTCTCTTGCGCTCTCCTTTCTTTCTCTCTTACATACTATTCTCATCAAATCTCTCTCTTCAAGAACACGAGATAATCTTCTCCTTTTTTTTCTTATATACTCATACAAAAACAACAACTAACATTTATCTCTCTCTCTCTCTCTACATATAAAAAGATCAACTTATATGATCATCTTCTCGATTTCTTTTTTTTTTTCAAACAACAAAAACAACTATACAATATATACAGACTGTTTATAGCTGATCAATCAGAAAGTACGCGTCGACTGAAACCCCGCTCAACTCTATCTTCCTTCTCTCTCTCTTTGTTTTTTTTTTCTCATTGGTTTGAACAACTACTGTGATTTATTACTTTACATCGAAAAACAGGAGGGGTTTGGAGTGGGCGGATGCAGGCTCTCGAGCTCGATCTCTTCTCCTTTTTTGTTGTTGTGTTTATGTACCGTTTTAGTATTGGCTACTCCTTGCTCTGATCGTCTCCTCTCTCTCTCTCTCTCTCTCTCTCTGACTCTTTCTCCCCCTCTCTCGGCGTTGTCTCTTGACTCTCTCTCTTTATCAAAAAAACAACCACAAAACTGTGCTGCTGATTCATCGACTTCGGTCCTACTATCTCGATAAGCTTCTCTTCTTCTGCTTCTTCTTCTTCCTTAACAACGATTTATTCAATCCGATTCTGATCATTATCTTGGTCATCCCAATATGCTTTTCTCTTTCCTCTTTCCTCTTTCTCTCTCTTGATTGACTCTATCTTATCAATCCTTTCTTCTTCTTCTTTTTTTTATGATGTGTGTGTGTGTGTGTGTGTAGATTATGATCTCTTCTCTTCTCCCTATTTTTATTTGTTTATCTTATGATGTAATTAAGGTGATCATCACTTACTGGCGACTCTCTTTTTCTTTTTTGGGGGGGGGGGGAGAGAAAATTGTGTTTTTGTAGGTTGTCTTGGTGGGGCTGTCTTTCCATGTTGTGCTGGTCTGGCCGGTGAACGAGTCTGGATATGTAAGATGTGCAATGACATGCTCACATTTGGACCTAAGGAAAAGACGGATTTAAGTGGGTGGTGGTGTTTTGTGAGGATTTCTCAAAGTGATCTCAGTGTTCTTTTCAGTTCTTTCTTGTCTTTTAATTGCCTACTTGGTAGCTTTTTTTGATATTTACTTTTAGGGTCTTTAGGCCCTGATTATAAACCAAGTTTTTGGATTTCGGCTCTTTTTATTTGAAAAGTATTTGAAAACCAAAAAGAAATCAAAAAGAAACCAAAAAGAAGTTCAAACACTTTTCAAAAACTTCTCAAATAATTTCTGCACTTATAAACCCCCTGGGCCTAGGGGGTCTGTATCACGTCTGGGTGCAATTACAAGGCACAGAACCTGCGCAAACTGGCCCTTGTGTGATTTTCCAGCCCCAGGGGTGGGGCTGCACAAGGCGGACTTCACCGTTCAAGACGGTGACTTTCAATGAGAGTTGCTTATCATGTGAATGAGAAGCAATGGTTTGTTTCTTTGAAGTGGGTAAGGATGCTATTCCACACTTCGGTAGTGGTCAAGACTTATACTCACAACAACAACCAAACAACTATGCTGCTGATTCATCGACTTCGGTCCTACTATCTCGATAAGCTTCTCTTCTTCTGCTTCTTCTTCTTCTTCTTCTTTAACAACAATTTATTCAATCCGATTCTGATCATTATCTTGGTCATCCCAATACGCTTTCCTCTTTCTCTTTCTCTCTCTTGATTGACTCTACCTTATCAATCTTTTCTTCTTCTTTTTTATGATGATGTGTGTGTGTGTGTAGATTATGATCTCTCTTCTCCTCCCTCTTTTTATTTGTTTATCTTATGATGTAATTAAGGTGATCATCACTTACTGGCGACTCTCTTTTTCTTTTTTGGGGGGGAGAGAAAATAGTGTTTTTGTAGGTTGTCTTGGTGGGGCTGTCTTTCCATGTTGTGCTGGTCTGGCCGGTGAACGAGTCTGGATATGTAAGATGTGCAATGACATGCTCACATTTGGACCTAAGGAAAAGACGGATTTAAGTGGGTGGTGGTGTTTTGTGAGGATTTCTCAAAGTGATCTCAGTGTTCTTTTCAGTTCTTTCTTGTCTTTTAATTGCCTACTTGGTAGCTTTTTTTGATATTTACTTTTAGGGTCTTTAGGCCCTGATTATAAACCAAGTTTTTGGATTTCGGCTCTTTTTATTTGAAAAGTATTTGAAAACCAAAAAGAAATCAAAAAGAAACCAAAAAGAAGTTCAAACACTTTTCAAAAACTTCTCAAATAATTTCTGCACTTATAAACCCCCTGGGCCTAGGGGGTCTGTATCACGTCTGGGTGCAATTACAAGGCACAGAACCTGCGCAAACTGGCCCTTGTGTGATTTTCCAGCCCCAGGGGTGGGGCTGCACAAGGCGGACTTCACCGTTCAAGACGGTGACTTTCAATGAGAGTTGCTTATCATGTGAATGAGAAGCAATGGTTTGTTTCTTTGAAGTGGGTAAGGATGCTATTCCACACTTTGGTAGTGGTCAAGACTTATACTCAATAGGTCCTCTGGGGAAGAGGTAAGACCACATGATGGATCAAGAATGGAGTCGTTGAGGATGAGGGAAACAGAGGCTGCCCGCGATAGGGGGCAGTCGAAGGCACCACCGTTATGGGGTCGGTTGAGCGAGATGATGAGAGTGACCCGCCACCGTTGTGCGCTTCGGCAGATGCTGACGTTCGAGATGTCCGACGTGGAGTGAGGTTTTCAGATTGGTCTATCTGTATGACTGGATATAACCATACAGCAGAATACTGACCAGTTTGCCAAACTGAAGTTTTTGAGATCTCAAACCACCTCTGGAGCTGGTTTGAAATTTTTTGAGTGAGTTTTTGAAAGAAAAAAGAAAAGAAAAAGAAAAAAAAAAGAAGTTGGAATACTTTTCAAAAACTTTCAAATATATTTTGAAAAACCGTTTATAATCAGGGCCTTAGACTCAACCGACTACAGCAGTTCCCAGAAAGCTTGCTGTCGCGAGCCCCTGGGATCCAGGTTTTTTTTTTTGAGCCACACTTTTTCTTTTATTTTTTGTCCTGTACGTTGGCTCATACAGGCAAAGTATTCTAGGCATTACGGCCCAACTCCCACATTTTCCAAGTTGAAGATTTGAGAGTTGGACCGTTGGAATCCTGGGAGTTTTTTGAGTCAGGAGCGGTCCTCACGTCAACACCTCGCCAGCCCTTGCCAGGCAACAGCCCGGTACAGCAGTTCCCAGAAAGCTTGCGCTCGCGAGCTCCTGGGATCTGATTTTTTTTTATTTTCTTTCCACCTTTTTTTGCGCCTCGTGACCTGTACACATGACTGTACAGGTTGTGAATCTGTTACCGAGGTCTCGATTGGGGCCCGGCGACCTGGCAGTTGCCTGGTGGGGGCCGGGCTTGCATCGATGTGATGGCGGCTTCCTGCTCAAAAAATTGAGAGGATTCCGATGGTCCAACTCCCGACTTCTCAACTCTAAAAATGAGGGAGTTGGGCCTCAATGCCTGGAAGACTGTCGCTGTACACGGCCAGATACAGGACAAAGAGGCACAAAAAAGTGAGGCGCAAAAAAAGAAAAAGTTTGGGATCCCAGGAGCTTGCGACCGCAAGCTTTATGGGAACCGCTGTTCAAGGCCTCGGCAGCAGATTTGCAACCTGTACAGTCATGTGTACAGGTTCCGAGGTGCATAAAAGTGTGGCAAAAATAAAAAAAAAGTTGGGACCCCAGGAGCTTGCGAACGCAAGCTTTCTGGGAACTGCTGTACCACAAATTGGAGTTCCGACTCCAAATTTTTGGGACGTCGTCGCAAGGACTGCCCGTCAACAGGGCCCAGGACGTCCTGACTCCCTGATTTTTTCAAGTTGGACCTCCAAAAGGTCCAGACTTAATACAAGTCCCCCTGGTGGGAGGCTTGCTGGTGTGACTGGCTGGTTGAAGCGCCCCCTCCCGCAGGGAGGAGCTTGAAAATTACAACGCTTTCCTGGTGTGAGACAGAAACACGGGTTTGGTGGTGGTGACCTTGTTTACCCCACCACTCATTCATTACAACTCAAATTTATTTTTAGTTCATGTGGATCAAAGATCTACATACAGCTATTTCGGAAAGGGTTGTCCACTTGGACTCGCGAAATCTTTTTTATTTTTTTATTTTTTTATTTTTTTATTTTTTTATTTTTTTACTGAACTGGACCTGTCAGAACTGAACTAGCGATGACAGCTGTACCTCCTCAGCTGTAGTTCAGTACAAAGAAAAATTTAAAAATTTTCAAAAAAAAAAAAATTGCAAGAGACAACTGGACAACCCTTTCCGAAATAGCTGTAATCCAGATTTTTATACATCTTTTTGTTTTTTCATTGCAACAACCAGTTTGGTTCTGGTAGAAAACATGCAATGAAGTTCATGATTTTGAACTTTGATTTGCATATTTGGCAGAGAGGCTTGAGCGCACTCTCAGTATAAGCATATTTTATGCCTGCCAAATGAGAATTTGTCTTTTTTTCTGTTTGTTTTTTTTATATAAAAGATTGGTATGAAAATGAAAATATGAAAAGATACAGAAAGATCAAGGAGATGTCATAGAATAAGAAAAAAATCACAATGAAATTTTGAGAACAATAACATCAAAAACAGAGGGGAAAATACAAAAAAGGTCCTCAATATCATGCCTGCCTCACGCGGGCTTTGAGTAATACAGTGTAAGCCTCTCTGACAAGACTGGGCTGCCACCCGGACCTGCCCGCAAACAACTCTTGTCACAAGAGGATTAGTTAAGATTGCAAAAGGTCTGACTTGCTTAGACCATCTCCACCACGGCTGCTAAACCAATCATAGCAGCGCAAACTGGATTTAGCAGCTCCACTGGGGCTAGAGATGTTGCTCGATACCCGGGTACCTGTAGCGGGTGCAGGTACCTGCCTCAAAAATCCAATATTTTTGACACCCACACCCGCACCTGCTAGGGCCGCCAGGGCGGGTACCCGGGTACCTGCGCCAGGTACCTGCGGGTACCTGGCACATTTTTGCAGGCAAATATACCCAGAAATCTCACCCTTGAATGTCTGCATGACTTGGTAAATATAAGATTGATATTCACTAGATATATGAGTAAGAATAAAATAAAAATAAAGAAATAA